CTTTTAATAAACCTTTTGATAACTTATTATGGTTTTGACTGCATTTTCTTAGTATGAATACACCAATGATAACAGAGATGTAGCCCTGTTATTACAAGCGACAGGATAATTATATATATATATATAATATGTGTGTGTGTGTGTTTTCTATGTAAATTTGCTTTTTTCCAAAATAAAGGGAAATTTGAGCATAATCTTAATTTTTTAATGTTACACTAACAGCTCAGTTGCAGCTCTAAAGTAAACTGTCATTTTTTTATTATTATTTTTAATGCTGTTTCCTGGTTTTGAACTAAATTCTTTAAAAAGTTTCAAACATATATTGAAATACAATTAAATATTGTTCAATATAGATTTTTAAAAGGAAAATTTAAACATCTTTATTTAAAGCATGATAAGAATAAATTCACTCTTAGACTTAAGCTTTTTATTCAAAGCATATCTGATATTAAACAAATTCTATGAAAAAAAAAATATATATATATATATATATTTGTAATGTGTGTTAGTGTAAAGAGATATCCTCTAAATCAGCATTCTTTTTGAAAAGGCTGTAATGTAATTACCAAAAGTATGTAATTACCAAAAAATATAAAAATATTTTATATGAATAAAATAATTGGAAATAACTCATTCTCAATTGAAAAGGATTTAGAAAGCAACAAAAGTTTCGACAGGAAAAAAGAAATAAAATGAAAATTTTCGTCCAACTGACCTATTTTCTCCCATTTGGATACCTTAATTGATGTATGACCTCTTAACCAGATATGATCTTAATTCAAGAGCTTAGTGCAGTGTTTCCCAAACTTATGACTTTTACGTACCCCTTCTAAATTTTTAGTAAGGCTGTGTACCACTAATAAGAAATTAATGTATTTTTTACTATAAAAAATTTCACAAAAGTTAAAAATCAAATTTGGCTGTTGGCACCACTAATTATTAACTGTTAACTCTGCAAAAAATAATCGAAAGAAAAGTACGTAATCGTAAATTTTCATGGCTAGCTTTGTTTTTAAATATAAATTTTTGAAATTTTCGTTTGTTGATATTCCGTATAAGAATGCGTACCCCCGCTAAATTGTTGCCGTACCCCTGGGGGTACGCATACCACACTTTGGGAAACACTGGCTTAGTGGAAGAAGGTACTCTGAGACGTTCTGAATCAGTTTTTTAAATTTGTTACATTCAATAAATTTTTGCTATGCCATTTTCAATAATTCTTTTAAATGGGGAAAAATTTCTTTGAACCGCTTCATGTTCTTGCTATACGTTATGATACTATTGCTAATTTAATGAAAATGTTGTTAATAATTTTCAAAGAAGCTATACATAAATGTTACTTTTTTTGTTTATGACGCCCCTATCCCCTTTATTATACTATTACATAAAAGTATGTTTATAGTTTAATAACTAAACACACATCATTGATAATGTTTCAAATTTTATTTTTCATCTTTGTGTTTAAATTATAATATAATACCTGAATCCATTTTGTGTCTTCTAGTATATTTAGAAAGTATGTTTAAAAATTAGAGAAATTTTTAAAGATTCTAAAATATATCGTATGATTGATTTCTACACTCCAAAACCTTCACTGGTTGTATAAAAAAAAAATTTAGGATCTTTATCAAGAAAATAATCCTTTAAAAGTCTTAGTTAAATCAGGTTTTATATTCTCTTTAACATTAAACTACCCAAGCTTATAAGAATTTCTTTAATATTTAACTTGCTATAAACAAATTCCATCTTATTGAAATTTTTTAATTTAAATATATATATATGCAAAAAAATTATGAAATGGAAGACTAATAAAAAAAATTTATTTTAGTGGAAATGCTGTGGTGTAGATGGACCTCAAGATTATACTAATGTCGGAATAACCATACCAAAGAGCTGCTGCGAGCCTGGTACTGATACTTGCCAACAACCTTTCATCAAAGTAAGACTTGTATTTTTCTTCTGTTGAGTTACTTTTTTATTTATATTTCTGTTCAAAATAATTTGAAATTGCTATTAAACTGCATAATGCTCATTATATTGTATTAAATATTAGACTTCAATATTTTGACAAATGATCTTTTAGTCTCTGGTTTCGACAAAGCTACCCTGACATAAAAAGATAGGTTTAATGCACACCTTGGAGTTTTTTCAATAATGGAAAAATGACAAAAAATACTCACTCACTATTAAAGGAATTAATTTTATTAGCAACTAATTCTTATCAAAACAGAAAGACCTTAGAAATTTTGAATCAAACTGATGAAGTGAAAGAAAGTAATCAAGATGAAAAATTAGTTGAATCAAACTGATGAAGTGAAAGAAAGTAATAAAGATGAAAAATTAGAAGTGAATCATCTGCCATATTAGTCTAGTCTTAAATTATATAAAGCGAATTTTTAAACTAATCAACTTAACTGTTGTGATTCATTGCCTAATTTTTTTTTAAAAAATATATGGGTTACTTAGTCTATAATCATTTAAAGTCAAATTTGAAAATTATCCTATGTTTAGTAATATATTAAATTTTATGTGCCTTTTTATGGTTATTTTCGAGAAATTTTAAATCACTCAACTCAAAAGCATTGTTTTTGACTTTTATTATAAAGTTTCTGCATATCTAGGGTAGTTTCAAGTTAATGTTCAACATTACTTTTGTTATGTGTCAGTGGTGTACAACACATCAAGATTTGAGGGTGCACAATCCAGAATTAATACACTATATGATAGGGGTGCACCACTTGTGGCCCACTAACTCTTTATGTGTGGCCTGCAGTGGCACCTGGAAATACTAAAAATGTGATTCATTTTTATTTTTGGAAAATAAGAAAATAAAATTGGAAAGTTGTGCATATAAGTTATTGACATGTCAAATATACAAAGTAGTTTTTGCATCTTTTTTTGTTGTTAGTTATTGCTACTAAGTTTCTGACATTTCAAAAGACTCAGTATTTTTAATGTGACAAATGTGTGATTCAATAATTTTGAATATTAATAATCACTTGTTCATTTATAATTAATCCATCAATTTCAATTGTTTCGTATTTTCGGAGAGTTTCCACATGTTTTTGATATTTTGTTCTACATGTTTTCTAATATTCTGTAATGTAAAATACAGTGTTAAGATTTAATATTCATAAGATCTTTTATAAATCACTAAATATAAATGTTCACAAGTTAAATATACTGAACTAATACCAACTGCATGTTTTATTGTAGTTTGGCTATAATGCGTTTTATTTTAAATCGTTTTATACCCCATACAATTTCTATAATTAAAATCTTTAATTTGCTTTTGTGTTGTTCAATAAAATATTGATCTATTTTTTTTATTTTTTCTTACTTTCATTCCAGAACATGACGGTTAATTTATTTTAAAATACACTTGTTTTAATTAATGTGCAGTCTTTTTCCTCAATCTTTTTTTTTTTTTTTCTTCATCGATAATAAGGAGGAAATATACTTTAAATTTGAAGATAATCAGCTTGGTTTTCTTCAGTTTTGAATGAATTTTTATATTTAAAAGAATTTGATTTGATGGAAATATATTACAAAGTTGACTGATAAAAGGAATTATCTAAAATACTGAAGTTTACACTAAAATAATTATAATTTCTGTCAACGTGTCTAAATATTAGGGTACTCAGTCCTTCATTTAAAAAGTTGTAAACCCCTACATATATGAATTACAATAAACAAAAAATTAATTCTTTTATAAGATATTTATTTCATTTTGCAAATAAAATTAACTTTTAAATAAATTTTGAATATAATTATTGTAAGATAGTTGGTTAATTTCTCGCATCAAGATAAATTTCATTTCAGGGTGGCAAGTTAGTAAATACATACAATGTTCAAATTTACTACTATTTCTAGATTTTATCTTTTCATCCCAATTAATTCTTTATTAATTAATATTTAAATTAAAGTAAAATAAATGATTGTAAATACCCAAATGTCTCTTCATATATTTCTTGTCTCATATTACAATTTTAAAAATATTTATGTTATGTATAAGATAGGGCGCATTTGTTAATCTTGCAGGGTGGTGCACCAAAGTCTAAGTTTCAGGGATGAGATTCTTCCGCGGATTCGCAGATTTCCGCTTTTTCTCAGATTTTTCCATTTTTCCCGCTAATTTCCGCTGAAATTTTTTTTTGCGCAAGTTAAAATATTTTATGAGGAATTTAATTTTTCGCAGAGCGAAATTATTTAAGTCCTCATTCCTCCCTCTGAAGTTTCTCTAAAAATCATTTCCTTCGGATAAAACTGGTTGACCTTTATACAGGGATGAGATTTTTTTCGCCTTTGTCTCTCGAATTTCAGCCTTTTTATCAAAAACTCAGATTCTCTAAAAGTATTGTTTTTTTATTTTTATTTTATTATTTTTTTTATTTTATTTATTTATTTATAAATATCCCGTTTTTTTAAAAGAAAAAAAATTCAGTCGTTGATGTTAAATAATTATATTTATTTACGATTTTCAAAGAAAAACAGAAAATTCAAGCTACGTCCTAGCTGCTAACCCTTCCACATGTTTACTTATATTAGCTATTTTCTCCGATTTCACTGACAGAAAATAAGATTTTCCGTATTTTTTATCCGTCGGCGGGATAGCTCGTATTTTGTAAATTTTTATTTATTGCGTAAACAAAAAACAATTCAAACAATCCTTTTAGAAATCCCAAGTCCCGACTCTGCAAATATCTCGAATTTTTTTTCACGTGATTTTAATATCAATCATCGATTTTCGTATTTACCTGATTTAAAAGTTGCGCATTGCAATTCTTATTTACGCTTTTTAAATATCATACATTATGACTCGTATTTACGAGATTTAAAAATCTAATATGTAGCGACCCGAGCTTAAAATCCAATGTTGTGATTCGTTTTTGCGGTTGTAATATCGCGCGATTTTAAAATTATGCATCTTGATCTAAAAATTACGCATCATGATTTGTATTTTCTCATTTTTTAAATCCGATGTAGAGTTTTATATGCACGTGATTTAAAAGCCGCATATCGGGATTTATAATCACATGGATTACAAGTTTAAACAAAAATTAGACAAAAAAAGTGCGATTTATATATATTTATATATATATTCTTGGATTTCCTCTTTTTTACTTTCTGACTACTCTCATCTCTGAAGTTTGCCACTGGTATCTATATATTGAATATCGCCATATACATAGTTACCAACTTTTATACATTTTGTGTGAAATGATATTTTTGCATTTTAAATTGGTTGTAAAATTTCTATTTTTCTTGGATTTCTAAATTTTATTTAAAATTATTATAACCACCTCTCTATGCAAATGTATTAGGCAGTGTTTTCATCGCAGAAAAAAAAAATGGGTGAGAATTTCTCAAAAACGGGGTGAGATTTCAAAAAGTTAAGTGAAATATCTAAAAAAAAATTTAAAAAAGCACAAAGAGACTTGAAAAAAAATCATTTCTTTAATTATAATACATTTTTAACATCTTCTAATTTTTAAAGCGTTGAATATTTTTTTTGCATCATCATATGGAAAATGTTTTACATCTACTTTTTTATCAGCTATTCTCATTAGGTTGCTCAAATGCGTATTTGTTTCGTTTTGATCGTTTCTACCCACATTTGTTTCATTTTCATTTGTCTGTTTCGGAGTAGAAGATATTGGCTTTACAAGGTATTTGTCCATCTTACATTAACGAGCAAAAAATTTGAACATCTTACATGAAGAAACCTTACCTATGGTAAACACCTGTTTGCAGAGAAATGCGTTCTGAAAGAGGTTCCGTGGTTCCGAAGGATGGTGTTCTGTTGTTCTTAAAGGTTCTGTACAATACTGGTAAATAGGGAAGCTAGTTATGGAGGAGATGTTGAAAATAATGAAAGATCCAGGAAGAAAAGTGAAACGGGTTTAATTTTAAATGGCACAATGAGTATTTTTTTTCAAAATGCAAGAAATTTTTTGAATTTCGCGAATTTTGAAATTGTTTTATAGAATGCGTGAATTTCTCGCGGTAATAATTTTTTAATGCGAGAAAGGAAAAAAATATGAGGTTCTCGCGCTGTACTGAAAACACTGTATTAGTATTTATAAAAGTGCAATTATGCAGTGTTCTTTTTGAATTTCGAGCCAAATAACAGATATTTTTGTTTTCAATTGTAATTCAATTTTCAATTTCCTACCACTAGAAAAAATCATATCCGGGGGGAACTAAAGGTTGGCTCTGTAGTTATTTTTCTTGTGAAATATATTGAATAAAAAAGCTTGAAAAAGAATTGGTCCCCTTTTCTCTAAATGATGGTCCCTACATTTTTTTTTTAAACTAGCAGGTTTTTTTATTTTTACTTGTATTTCTGAAATCTTTTAAATACCAAGGCGATAAACGTCAACCATTGTGTTACATTTTAATTTTCTTAGAAGTTCAGCAACTGAATTTTATTTTCTTGGTCGTTTTTTTTAGGGCTGCTTCCCACAAATGCTTGAAAAAGTGAAAGGTGCTATTACTGTTATTGGTGGTGTTGCTGTTGGTCTTGCTGTAGTTGAGGTAAGTAATTTGACCTTTAAAAAAAACTTATTAATGTGGTTACATAGTGGCAGAGAACAATATGCGACTAAGTACGAGATTGAATTAAAACTATGATTGAACAGCATTCTTTTTTAAAATTGAAAACCCTTCTTAACTTACAGAATAACTTTCTTTATTTAAAATCTAGTGAAATTTTGACTTTAAATATTATGCATGCAAAACATAACAAACAAAAAAAAGTGGAGACATGTATTGAAATGAATGTGTTTTTATGATTTTAAGATTACCTTTTTTTTGATTTATTGATAACATTCTTAATTTTTTTTACCAACACAAGAATGACTTTTTTCCTGTTCTATTTCGATTCTTAAATAGAAGTCTTCAAAAAAAAAAAAANAAAAAAAAAAAAAAAAAAAAAAAAAAAAAAAAAAAAAAAAATGAATAACAAATTACATCTTGTAAAAGTCAGTTTCCAATCATATGCAAGTTAAATTTATTTATTGAATCAAAAGTTTTAACAAAATTTTTGACCTTCCTACCATCTGAAAAATAAGACCTCAGAAAGTTCTTAAAAACTAAGAACAGATTTTTTCTCAGATTAAAGATTTTTAATAAATTTTCTGAAGTTTTTAAGTTGTTGACAATTACACAATGATAGGTAATGTTAATTTTATCAAATTTTCATATTTAAATTACTAGTTTTAATTTAAAAAAAAAACTCAAATCTTTTTTTTTAAATTTTATTTTATTTTTTTATTAGTAATGCATATAAATTCTTTCAGTAAAAGTTTGAGTTTTGCATGATGAATATTTAATGTAATGTATTTTTGTCATGGCATTCCACAAAGCAACATTTAAACAAAAATATAATTTGATATAGTTTGCACACAAAATATATTTTTAATAGTTTATTAAATTTAAAATTTTTATTTCACCCATATTTCATTTTTTTTCGCCATCTTATTTTTAGTGTGAAGTTTATGCATGTTAAAAGTTACTATATTAAAATAGGTTACAATATTAAAAGCAGCTTTTAAATAAAAATATTACTAGTTGAGTTGATAGAGTTAAAGCACACAAAATATAATAATTATTTATTAAACTTAAAATTTTTATTTTATGTGATTCCTTTTTTTATATTTCACTATCTCCTGTTAGTGTAAAGTTTGTTAGTTTATAATTATTTTATTAAAATTTTGTCTCTATTTTAAATTGACTACAACATAACATGTTTTATGTATATTTATGTATATTATTAGACACTATGTATGTGTAAATATGTTTATATATATTAAATACATGCATACAAATCATCTTAAAAACTTGAGATAAATACCAGAAAGCTTGAATCCTATTTTTATGAAATTAATAATTTATTTTTTTGTTTAGCTTCTGGGATGCATGTTTGCTTGGTGCTTGGCATCTGCAATCAAACGAGACTACGAAGGAGTTTAATTTGTGCACTCAACTGTTCATGAAACACCATGTTCTTAAATTCGTCCGTTTGAGATGATTTTCATTCTGAGCACATAAGAATTCATTTATATACTGTTATGTTTTTTTAATTTTTTTTTAAATATTTGTATTTGTAAATTTTTGAAATAGTGGGTGCTTTTGTATTCTGCTATCGAACACTTTTAGTGAATTACTTAATAGATAATTCAAAGATGCTCTCTAAATCAAGGGATGTGCATTATTTTTATAATTTTTTATCAATGAAAATTTTGAAATTCTTTTTATGTAATATTAATTTTTGAATTATTTACTGTAATCTAAATCATTAACTGGATCTAAATTGACTAAATCTCAATTAAATCCAATTTTGTATCGGATCCTAAATAACATTCCTAATCACTGATAAAGTATGTGCCTTAGATATCCGTTATTATTAAAGTATTATTTTCGAAATATACAAAATTTATTTAAAAAATGTCTACACATTGTTTTCTTTTTATGAAATACTTATGTTTTTTTTTTTAAACTTTTATTTAATTATATGCCAAATAGCTTGTAATTAGAATATTTTGATATTTGAATTATATCTATGTGTGCCAATATTATACTACTCTATATAAGCCCTCCAATATTTTATTTCTAGTTTAAAGATTAATTCTTAGATTTGATTAAGTAGCTTCATTTAAATTCATAACTTTAAAAAAAATTTCTTTTAAATTATTAATCAAATTTTAAACTATTTTGAACTGTATACTTGTTATTAAGCACAAGTCTGCTTTCTTGTTATAAACATTCCAGTTTTCTTTATTATTAATTAATGCTATTAAACTTAAGCATTTCGCTTTATAGTGGCTTTATTTTTCATCATGCAATATTATTTGGTCTAATACTGTTTCTGTATCAGTAATCATTGTATATAAATCCTTGTACTTACCAGTGTAAAAAGTTATGAAGTCTGTGTATTAATAAAACTTTTAATGTTTGACTGATGTTCTATTTTTTTTATGAAAATTTTGGAAATATTGACTTCACTATAAAATTAATATTCAATAATATTAGCTATTAATAATCTTGAATATCAATATAAAGTTGAAAATCTGGGATGGTGAGGTCATTAAAAAGTTAAGTTTTAATTTTTGCAGGGTTGCCACAGGTGACTAAAATGCAACTATTTTTGGCATGAGGAGACTTTGGCAACTTTTTTTTTTGCCTGAAAAGGCTAAAAAAGCAACTATTTACAGGAAAAGGAGACTTTTCTGTACTCCGAGCGATGTTTTATATTATTATTATTTTTTGAAAAGCAGAAATTGAGTGAAAAATATGCACCCCACAAGATAGTTTCTGAACACACTGAACTTTTTTTTCTTAAAAAATAAAAAATGTTGAAAATTTTGAATTGCAAATTTGAGTCTTCACTGTTTAATTCGTTCAATCTACACAGACTCCATTGCAAGTCTATTTCATTTCTTGAACGCCTTTTCAATGATTATTGCTACGAAATTCCGCACGATTTTAAATTTTTTTTATTTAATACGTTATTACGATGCGTGAATTTTGAATATGAGCAATCACTTTTCATATATATATATATATATAAACATTTACCTTTATATAAAAATTATCATATTTGCCACCAACTTGGCTGAATGGATCATGGTATATGACAAGTCATTAACGAAATTTTAGTCATATTTTTGATGAATTTTTGTTCTTATTTAGGCAACTATTTTCCTAGTTTTTGGCTACTAAAAGCAATTATTTTGTTCATTTTTTTTCTGTGGCAACCCTGTTTTTGGCAATTTCGACCTTTTGTTGCCTTCCTTTTATTTTTTTGTTAATTTGCTTTTCTATTTAAAAGCAATTAGAAAGACAAATAATTTACTTTCTCTTGTCAGCAATAATAAGGAAATTCAGAACTTTTTACCTCTTGGTGCTTACGTAATATTTGAATACCTCATCTGATGTGTAACTTGTCTTTACTGTGAATAATTAAATCCAGGAGATTTTGTGTTCAAGTAACAAGAATCTTGCTGATTTGTTTTGGGGATTGAGAATTAATGCAATGCTCTAATCAGTTTACTTTAATGTCTATTTGATTTTGGAGTTTTATTAATATTTCAAAACAATTGTTATGCTATTAGCATTGTTTAAATATTACTGATAAAATAAAAGCTAAAAACCATTAATGTTTTTTTCTTAAATTTTTGAGAAAATTCCTTTTTTTCTTAAAGAAATCTTAATTTAAATCTATTTACAAATTTAATAAAAGCTCGAAAGTAATAATATCTATTGTAAATAAGGGACAGCTCTAATATTATGTAACCACCCCGCTTTAGGGTAGCTTATTTTTGTTGATGAGGCTGTGGGAGACTGAGTAGGAGCAATGTTTTTGAAAGCATTAAAATCCCCATAGTTGTAAAATTTTCTTAATTTTAAGTATTGTAATAAAAAATTGCTTGTGGAAAATTGGAGATGAAAATTAAGTGAATTTTTTTCTCTCCAAGAGTTACGGATGTCTAGTTTAAAACACACAAGTATGATAAAACTCAAAAGATTCCTAGAATATTTTACTCGAGCTTTTATAAAATTAATGTCTTAAAACATAAAAATTTTTTATGCTAAGTTACATCTTTTATTTGAATTGAATCTCAAAATTTGATGACTACAATCAAAGTAAAAATCGAGGGAGGGGGCTGTTTTTTCTTTTTGGTACTTGCGGATGAGGATGGTTGCCCAAAATATGCTTGCATATATTTAATCAGCCCCAATAATGTAAACAATTGCCTCCAATCTGCAAACACATCAGATTTGCATTCAATTATCAAATGTTTTTTGATGTTCCTAAAATTGATAGAACGCCTTCAGTTTTGTCAATGAGCAAATTCTTACATCTTAAAAATTTCTGTTCAACATCAGCGCTTGATCTGGGTCCAGAACTGTTTGAGACTACGCTGGTCATAATTTAAAATCAAATTTACATGTTTACGTGCAAAATGCTTTTGAAATATTTATATCATAAGTTTATTTAAGATTATACGTTAGTAAATTTGGGCTTATATTTATTTTAAATTTTTTAGTCTTAATTCTAATAGAGGATTATTAAGAAAAACACTAAAAAATTGTAGGCCTTCTGATAAATCGGGTACTGCCCTTAGTATTGAAGTATATTTTATATCACAAATTCACTTAATAGAAAGTTCTTTTATTTCAAAGGTGTTTCTTTTTCTCCTGCTAACATGTTTGAAAGTGTATGTGTGCAAGCCAAAAATATTCTGAAACTTACTGTTATTAAGTAATATTAGCCTTCTTTTCTTTCCTTTCGCCTTGCACAGGTTTTGAATTGCTGCGACAGAAAAAATCTTTTAACACGAAAATTTATTCAAAATTTACAATAATTTGTAAAGAAAAAAAGTAATGCTCTTAAATAAACATTGTCATTCAAAGTGTAGTATAAAAAAATTAATAAATCTCTATAAAGGTAAAAATACAAAATAATGCATAATGTAATACTTGCACTGATTATAATGCAAAAAAGGTAATTTTTTATAAGAGCGAGAGGAATTGTTATTTGAAACTTGAAATGCCTAATAAAAGATTTTTAAATTTTCAAAACTAAGATAATTTATAACAGAAAATCGCATAAAACTACAATGATTGATGCAGAATAAATCTGGTGAAACAGCAAGCATCGTTTTACAGGTGCCTCTACTGTGCGACAACGAGTAAAATATTTCAGTTTTCAAAAACGAATACTATATTCACTTTGAAAAAATAAATATACTGGCTGTCTTACCGGTATTCTAGAATGCATTTTAAAGTAAAAATTGGCTGGAGACCCCTCTAATAGAGAATCGCTTGTTTTTATAGCCATGAGAAAACCATTTCTGCGAATTTAAATAAAGGCAGGGAGGGGGGGGGGGCAACTGCCCCCTTGTCGGGACGGACTTAAAAATCGTCGGGAAAATTCTGCTGTCTTGCTAAAACAATTATATTCTTAAAAAAAAAATCACGTTTTTTTATTTTTTTAAATTGAGAATTGATTTAAAACCTAACGACGAGAATGTTTACATTTTACCACCAACTTCCAGTTAGACATCTTTTTCTCATAAGATTTTGTGGGTCATATCTTTTGTTTGTATCCATATGGTAAGTTATTCAACACCCCTGAGGGATAGGGCGAGACAAAAACATACCCCATCGTGCTCACGTGACTTCAGTTTTTCAGACAGACTACAGTGGGTGATCGGTTAACGAACAGATCTGTTAACGAACAAATCGGTTAACGAACACTTTCACGAAAGTTTTTTGCGTTCGGATAACGAACACTTTCAAAAAAGATTTTTTGAGTTCGGACAACGAACGGATAATGAACAAACGAATTCTAACGAACACTTCTCGGCCTGAAGAGAACTTAATATTAAGCATTTGTTATCATTTTGCATACAAAATAAGATCACTGAAAGGGGAAATGTTTAAAGCATGCTTAGTATATTGATAATTACTAAATTAAACTTGAATTAACAATGAATTTAAAGGTCATTCAATAATTATTATTATGAGGAGCTGAAGGAGTAACGAAAATCACATCTGCGACGCAAAGAAGTGCCATCCATGATAAAATGGAGAGGTTGATTTTAGTTTGGATAAATGAACTGGAAATGAAACGAGATGTAACTAGTATGCCTATCATTCAAGAGAAGGCTGGAGAAATTTTTGAGAAATTGAAAGAACAAACTTCAGGTTCGTCATCCGAGGAGTTAGAATTCAAGGCGCTCACCGGCTGGTTTACAAAGTTTAAAAGAAGGTCTGGAATTAAACATGTATTAATGCGTGGTGAGTCTGCTAGTGCAGATAAAGAAGCAGCTGAGAAGTACTGTCTCAAATTTCAAGAATTCATTGAAGTGGAAGGGTATCGTCCACAACAAATATTTAATTGTGATGAAACTGATATGTTTTGGAAGCGCATGCCGATCCGTACCTACATCACGAAAGATGAGAAAAGTGTTCCTGGGCATAAATCAATGAAAGACCGATTGACGTTACTTTTGGGAGCTAACGCTAGTGGTGATATGAAGCTTAAACCACTTCTCGTTTACCACTCTGAGAATCCCAGAGCATTAAAAACAAATTCCATAATTAAGAGCAAATTGCCAGTGATGTGGAGATCGAATAAGAGGGCATGGGTCACGCAGTATCTTTTCAAAGAATGGCTATTTAAAGTTTGTGCCCCGAGCATCAAGGACTACCTTGATACCAATGACTTGCCGTTGAAAGCACTGCTGCTATTGGACAATGCCCCAGGACACCCAAAGGATCTTGAAGATAATTTGTTGACAGACTTTCCCTGGCTGACAGTTCAGGTTTTACCTCCGAATACGACTTCTTCAGCCGATGGATCAGGAGGTTATTGCGGCTTTCAAGAAATTGTACACTCACGCACTGTTTCGTCGGTGTTTTGGAGCAAGCTAATTCTCCTCAACAATGACTTTAAAAAAGTTTTGGAACGAAAAATTTGACATTCTTGAAGCTATTCGTATCATTAAAAAGGCGTAGTCAGAAGTCACACAGCGGCAGTTGATTTCTGCTTGGCGGAAGCTGTGTCCATCCTTCGTTCAAGGAGACGGAGGTGATCAGGGAGACACCCCTGAAATTATGGATGAATTTGACAACTGCTAGAGATCTGGAAGTGGAGGTGAACGAGGATGACATAGAAGAGCTCATAATGGGACATGAAGATGAACTGACGACAGAAGAACTCCAAGAAATTTTGAATGAAGAACACCAAGAAACACAGCGAAATGTGTCTCCTTCTGAACAAGAGGCAGACGAAAGAGGACCAATGCCGACATCTGCCATTAAAAATCTTTTGAAAAAGTGGGAGGATGTCAGAGCAATGATCTTAGAATGGCATCCAAACCAAGCTGATGTCAGTAGGGTTGGGGATCTTTACAACGATAATGCTATTAATTACTTCCGGAAAATCCTGAAAAAGAGAGAAAAGAAATCGACATTGGACATGTTCTTCAATGCCCCATAAGCAAAAAATTTAAAGGACTGATTAATATGTAAGACTATATGTATGTATTATTTTTAAAAAAACTTACTAAGAAATCATAAATTTTTTAAAATTTAATTTTTAGGGTCTCCAGAACGAATTTATCGATTTCACATAGAAGTCTATGGTGAATCGATGATCGGTTAACGAACAATTCGGATAGCGAACATAGTCTCGGAACGGATTATGTTCGTTAACCGATCACCCACTGTATATATAATACATGTACACTGAATCTTTTTAATTTGCTCTTAAATAGTGTATATATTTTTGTATAATAAATAATTTCTCATATATGAGTTAAAATAGACTTGTAATCCCCTATACCTACCATGTTGTCGCATGAACTACAATCATGACCTTAACAATTCTTTTTTTTAAAGTGTGCGGGCATAAAAAATAGTTTTTCTACTTATCAGGAAAATACAATTTTTTAATATTATAAAAAACAATTATGAATAACAAAATGGACAAACAAATTACGATTGTAATCCCTTTTTTCGTCGCGCAGGAAAAGTTCTCGTCAAGAAAATGTTTAAAAAAGAAAAAAAAAAAACGAGAAAAATAAGAATTAATTTTTTTACGCCAATTTTTATTATTATTATTATTAAAAGCACCGCTTTTTCCGAAATCGTGAGATGGGGGGATGACAAAACAACACCTTTGAATGGCATATAGTACGTTTACATTATAACGGAATTTATAATACCTCGTTTTAATTTTTCCATTGTTTTTTTCAACTTAAATAATAAATATTCTAGAGCCGATATGGCTTGTATGATTTAGCCCTCATTTACCATTGATGAGTCTTTGGTTCGAATCCCCAGGTTAATTAGTACACTGCTCTTGGTTTGCGCTTAACAACAATTTCGACATGTAATTCATTCAGTGACAGAGGAATCATGTCATGAGTGAGAATAATATTGCCCTCGAACTAATCATGAAATATGTTCCTGCCCCCCCCCCACTAATATAAGGGTGATTCTCACGAAACATGACAATTCGGACCAAAAAATTTCTTCAAATTTAAAGTCTTCAAAATAATCTAAAATTTTTTTGTATACTTCTTTAGCTACACTTATTAATATCTTATAGACAGCAGTGTAGTTTATTGACATTTGCTTGAGAAAAAAAATAAAATAGAAATTTGCCAAATCTTGAATGCCAGGAAAATGACATATTACCTTAGAAGTTTAAAAAACAGTCATTTTAAGTTAATAGTAAGTAACTCAACTTAAGCCTTTATGTTAGATGGACCGCAAATTACTTAAATTAATTCTTTTTATCCACTGTAGAAAGAAACAAAAAAATTTTTGTTGCTGATATGTACAGAATAAAATTGCGTATAATAATCAATCATTAAATAAATAAATAACTTTGATTACATCCAAGCATATTACAATCATACATAAAATTGGTATTAGGTTAATATTTGCTTTCCTTCTTTACAGTATTAGCAGTGAAAAGGAATTTCTGGTAACACTTCAATGTCCTGGCATTCATAAGCCAGGAAAATGACAAATTCGCCATTTTATAGTATATAACTTTACTTTAATTTAATATTTTGGCCGAAGACGTTTATATTCTGCAGAAAACAACAGTATTTCTTAAAATAACTCAGATAAATCTATGTAGTTTTTGTTATTAATGATTTCAAGAAGCCAGGAAAATGACAGGATAAAAATCACTCACCTTGAAAAATTTTTTGAAATAGATTTTGAGCCAGAAAATTGGATTTTTATTCATGCAACAAGACATGCTCAGATAGGAGGGTATCTAATCAATCTATTTACATAAGATATTGATTCCTGGCGCAATCTATTTTGGTTATAAATCACTAAATAAAAGTTGCCAGAAATGTATGGGAAGTTTTGAAGTTAGTTATTATTGGAAATATTGTTTGGGACACGCCAGAAAAATGACATTTTGATATTCAATTAAATTTTTTAAGTATACAAAACAGTCAATGCTAGTGCAAAGTCATTTTGAAATGCTAACAGCAATGCTATTTACTAATTTTTTTTTTAAAAAAAAGTTCTTTTAGTATTATAGTATTAGATCTTGGAGCAAGGGACAGTGAATTGTCATGTTTCGTGAGAATCATCCATAAATCAAATGTAAGCTTGTTACAATTCTGATGTTCTCCATGAAATTGAAATTGTCCTAAAACTTTTACAAGGACTTCCTTAGTACTCTAAGTTCGGTTCAAAATTGCAAAACTACAGGTTTTGACATTAAAAACAAAGAAAAAAAATCATCTGCATGAATTAATACCAGTTCTGAAATAAAGTAAATATCTTAAGTCTTGCAGCAAATCTGATCTTTTTCAATTTTTGGTTATTTACTTACTTATTTTAGGTAAAGTGTAAATTTTATTGTAATGTAACGTAAATGTTTGTAGATTGACGATTAATGCTTGTTCAAATCAATGTGTTTTTAAACTTTAAAAAAAAATGCATTAAAATTAAAAATACTCAATTCAAATAAAAAATAAGGAAAATAAAAATTGCAAATTTTTTTCCAAAATTTTTTCACAGCATATATAATTAGTTTAGCATAATTTTATCACACTTTCCATAGGTGCAAATATTTATTCTTTAAATCAAACCTTCATTTCATCTTTTTGTAAATTTCAACTTTAGTATGCTTGGTATATTGCTGAAAGTCTGATACCTCAAAATATTAATATTTAAGCTACAAATTTTTTTTTTATAACGAGTTAACAAAAATATTGGGTAACGAGGCAAAACTTTGTTTGAGGAAAATACATTTTTTCTGTTATTTAAATTAACAAAGTTATACGAAAGAGAACAAAACGTTTTCATTTATGTCCGATATGGAACGAGAACTTCATCCTTCATCTCACCTTATTTTCTACTACCAATCTTAATTCTTTAAGAGCATATACACCGAATAGCCATTACATTATGACCACCCTGCTAGTAACATGTAGGACCACCTTTAGCCCTCAAAACTGCTAGCACCCGCCGTGGCATTGATTCCACAAGGTGCTGATAGGTAGTCTGAGGTATCTAGTAGTACCAAGCGATCACATATTGGTCCTGCAATTCCCTCACATTGCGAGGGGGTAGCGTGGCAGCACGAATTTGGTTTTCCAAGTAGGACCACAAATGCTCTATTGGATTAAGGTCAGGTGAATTTGGGGGCAAGACATGACTTGAGAGTCACTGGAAAGTTCCTCGACGATTTGACCATGGTGCATTATCCTGTTGGTAAACACCATCCCCCGCAGGAAAAACTGTTGCCATGAATGGGTGAAAATGGTCTGCAACTATGTTCAAGTAGCTCAGAGACGTCAGGGATTGTTCTATGAGGATTATGGGTCCTAGTGTCCCGGGCGAGAAACCATGAAAACCTGGGCGAGCCCATTGTTATAGATGGAGAGTGGTCATAATGTAATGGCTCTTCGGTGTATATGAGGATAACCACCAGCTAAATTATCCTCCTATATAAACATTAAAATATCTTATACTGTTATTAGGAATATTGTCATATACTTCAAATGAATGTACAGTGCGCAAAAAATAAACGAACCCACCTGAATAACTTTTGATCTATTGATCCGGTCTTAATGTTCTATGATCATTCTTAATGGTTCGAGAGGGTGATGTCAAAATTAATTACTTAGTGCAAATGATATTTTAAATTAGGAAATTATACCAAATGCGCTTTCACTGATTAAACATACCTTTTTTTCCAACGGATTCGGATTTCTGACCCCAAAAATATAGGGAGTAGCTGCTATCTGGAAATACGGTCCTAATAGTTTGGTATGGAGCGCGATTTAAAGTTTGGACCCCTTAATGTTAACTTTACTTTTTTCCTATTTCACTATATACCAATATTTTTTCAAGCGAATTGAAAAATTTATGTATACAATTATAAAATTCCTTTCTCTAAAAATAATTTCATGCAAAATATAGCTTTTAGTAAATATTTATTATTTTATTTAATGATAGTCGAAAAACTTTTGCATTGTACGGTAAACAATTTTTATATCATTTGAAAGAATGCAAATTTAAATGGCAAAATACAAAATTTGAGTGAAATCGGCAAAATAGTTCTTGAGAAATAAGGAAAAAGTCGTATTTTTCTATTTTTAGCACTCCATCTCAATTTTTTGTATCTCTTTTTCTGTGATTTAAAGTTCGGAACTATAAAAACAAAAGTAATTTTATATCGTAGAGGAAAGAATGTTTCGAGTTCATATATGTTCTGTGGGGGGGGGGGGNGTTGTGGGGGGGGGGGAGGTGGAAAGTCAGCTTACAGCTCTGCAGAGAAAAGAAGGCAGACAAACAGCTACCATATGCATCTAATTTTTTAAAATGTAAGTCTGTCAATATTTTCTCGGACGCAAAAATAAAGTATTACAGACAGAAAAATTATTATAAATTTTAGCATGATTGTTTGAATTTATATTTCAAGCGAATGGACTAACTT